TGCTGGGAGGGGGGGCTGAGAGAGTTGGGGGGGTTCAGCCTGGAGAAGAGAAGGCTCCGGGGAGACCTTGGAGCCCCTTCCAGTCCCTAAAGAAGGGGGGCTCCAGGAAAGCTGGGGAGGGACTCTGGATGAGGGAGGGGAGCCACAGGATGAGGGGGAACAGTTTGACACTGAAAGAGAGGAGATTGAGATGAGCTGTGGGGAAGAACTTGTTTGGTGGGAGGGTAGTGAGAGCCTGGCCCAGGTTGCCCAGAGAAGCTGTGGCTGCCCCATCCCTGGAGGGGTTCAAGGCAGGTTGGAGGGGGCTTGGAGCAACCTGGTCTGGTGGGAGGTGTCCCTGCCCAGGGCAGGGGGTGGCACTGGGTGATCTTTAAGTTCCCTTCCAACCCAAACCATTCTACGATTGTGTGGTTCTATCTGCTCCCTACCTCTTCTCTCTGTTATGATAACAAACCGCTTAGAACAGGACTTGGGGCTCACATCTGGCTGATGAAATAACAACAACAATAGCAATAATACTAAAAAATGCACTGAGCTCATGGAATAGAAGGAAAAGCATCTGGATTTCTGTCTGCTGCCTCTTTTGCCCACGCTCCCTCCAGCGTTCCCTGCCAGACGCTGCACGCTGCTGCCCAGCTCTTCCCTGGCCACATTTCCAGGAACATCACCCCCCCTTTGCCTTCAGCCTGTTCCCTCCTTGCTCCTCGCCTGCCCCAGTAGCTGTTCTTTGAACCCCTCGTCTCCTGGCTGCGGGCGCTCGTTGTGACATCTTTTGCTCCGCGGGTCAGACGTCGTTAATCTCTTGCTCCCCGCCTGGCGCTTGATGGGCGGCTTCTCCGCTCCGCTCATGCAGCTTTATTCCAGAGCTCACCTCTAATCCGCGTGTTCTCTCCAATCATCGTCCTAAATCAAACCTGTCTTTTCGTTTTAAGGTCTCCGGGCAGCCCTTGTCCCCAGCTCTTCCATCACACCTCTCCCAGGACTCACTCAATAAGCATTTCCAGTCTGGCCTCAGGCCGTTATCACACAACAGAGGCTGATTTGCCTCACAAATGACCTGTTGCACAGCCAGGAACTCACATTCTATTTCTTTACTTGCTTTCCTCCTCCATTTTTTTCCCCCCACTTCTCTTTTCTTTTCCTGGCTGCCTCTCCTCTTCCTCTTCACATGTCTCTAGTTCATCAGTCATTCGAATGGGGCATAGTGAGAGAAAAATAGGTGGTTTGACCCATGCTGGTTCTTCTCCATTTTCATTTCATTCTCCATTTGACCTTGGGGGCGACACATTCAGATCTAGATATTTCTTGCAGCATTAGGTGACCTGAACCCCACCTGCGAGTGCCTGGCTCCCCGTCATCTCCAAGGGGTTATAATATCTTCACAGATCCCATACCCAGCGTTCTCAGGTGGCAAGAGAGTGGTGTAGAGCTCTTTGTGGCATCAGCCCATCGCTGGTACTCATGGATGCCCTCCTCCAGGGTGTAGGAGCTGCTCGTTAGCTGGGAAATATCTCTCCCTCCTCCCTTCCATGGGTCTTCTCCGGGTGGAACGGGGCCAGCGAGGTGGGTAACAGGCTCAGATGCTCTTACAACCCTCCCCTGTTCATCTGCCCTTTCAGTTTCTCTCTATTGTTGGCTCTTTTCATCCCGGCCAGATCTTCTCCCTAAGACCCAGGCACTTCAACCTACGGGTGGCACCAAAGGGATTCCCCGAAGCCCGTGGGGACTCTGGAGCTGATACGGTGACAGCACAGCACGGGCTGCAGCCACCGCGCGATCGATAAGGAGCTGCCAGGAGGAAAACACCCTGCTCAGATCTCAGAGCCCTCAGTGATCTCTGCTGTGCTGGCTGTCGGGAAACACCTCTTTTCAAGCAAGACCCTGGGGAGGAATCGCTGGAGAACTCGGAAGGTAATGCCCACCAGGCATCTTTACTGCTTTATTTTTCAGGGAAGAGCTACATCTCAACCCCTCCAAGCACACTGGAAATAGGATTTCAGGATATTTTCTTAGAGGGCTATAATCCCCCACACCAGCTGTTCTTCCTCTTGGAAGAAAATATACAAACAAACATATACGCATACATATATTTTTCTTTCCTGTGACACCGGCTTTTACTCAGGTAAAATTGTGAAATGCAGTAATTGCCCCTGGATGGAGCCTTCCCCTTTTGTATTACCCAATTTCACTCTCCCTGTGCATATTCATGCACTTAAATGCTTTTAGGATCAGCACCTCACACTACTAATTTGCAAGAACTGTGTCTACATCTGCGTAGAATAATTTGGCCCTTGACCTCAAGCCAAACAAAGTCAGCAATAATTAAAGCAGGGATGATCTCATTTGTGTTCCGAGCTGTGATTCTTTGCAAGCGGGGGCCTAAGACTGCTTTGGAGGTAGAAGTGCTCTGGTGCAGTCGAATATTAAGTTTCAAAAACAAACAAGAAACAAATCTCGACCTTAAAAAACAAACCCCAACCTCCAGGCATCCTTTAACCGAAATGACTTCCAGTCTTCCCCCTTCAGTGATGTCTTTATAGCACAGTGAAGCTGAACTCAAACGTGTGTGATGCTGCTACCTATTGGAGCAATAAAATATTACACTCGGTTCTCAGCTGGAAGACTTCACCCCTCTCCAGAATCAAAAACAGAAGCAGAATTTGGCTGGTGTGAAATGGCTCACACAAGTGACCGTTCGGACACTTAACGCACGGATGATGCTACCAAAGAATTCAGAAATACAGCTGTGGAGGAGGAAGCCAAAAAAGTCTGGTGAGAATGCACACTGTTGAGAATTCGTGATGGCTGGATGCAGGCATAGAAGACTACGAAAGGACCAGCTTGATGCCCTTCTTTAAAGGAGGAAGCGGGGCAGTCAGGGCACTCAGTTTAAGAGGAACTGAATATAAACTACTAAAAAATCAACAAGCTATTATTAAGTTTATACACTTGCCAATAACAAGCTCTGTCATATCAATGTAACTTTGCGGACTGACAGAATGGGTCTTACAGAGAAAAAGACAGTTATCATTATCATTTTGTCTGTATCTTTAGCACTGTGTTCTCATAAGCAAATAGGGACACACAACCTAAACCAAAAAGCACAGAAGCAAAGCAGGTGTGAAAAGCTGAACCGGGGGAGCTGTAATCCAGCTGTCATCCAAGCGGAGGGATGGAGGGAGAAAGAGCTGTGGGCAATCTCCTCTGATCCTGGGAGGCCTCGTTACCACCATTAACGACCCAACTGAAGGAGCAGAGTACACTTAGGACACTGGTGGGCAATTCCAAGCTGGGAAACAGCAAAGACACTGAAGGCGTGCAACTCAGAACAATGTCACAAAACAGAAAAGCAGAGGTATTGACTCAATAAGGGCAAAAGACAAGATAACACCTTTATTTTAACCCACACACTCCGAGGCCTCTCACCCCACTCCCCCCGAAGCGCCCCCTCACGCCGGGCCTGTGGAGACCGTGAAACACCCCGATCTCCGTCCGTGGGGACGGTAAAACACACCGAAAGTCCCCGCCACCCGCTCGGAGCGGCTTTAGAGGCTTCAGCAGCCCCGAGGCCGCCCTGAACCCCCCGGGAGGAACCGCCGCGCACCCCCGGCAGCGACCGGCGCTCTCCGGGGAAGCCGCGGCCGCTGCAGCCACCGCGGCTGCCCGCAGAAATGCCTGTCCAATGTGCGCCGGGAAACGCCCGAGAATAGCCCATATACAACTCAGCACGTCTTTTGAGACCTTCAGTAGAATTTCAGCAGGTTTACACTCTCTATTTTTGCTAGGGTGACCGCTGCTCTCGCCTGCTTCGAGACTTTTCAATCAGGCATTTATATTGCCGTCCTTTTCTGCGCCCGAGGTGATAAAAGCCCCCCCCGTCAGGGATAGGAGCGCGGCGGAGTCCCGTGGCCACGCGCCGCCGAAGGAGGAAGGACCCCCCTCCAAGATGGCGATGCTGGCGGAGCGTGAGTGCCGCTCCCCGCGGGGAGGAACAGCGATGGCGGGGCTCGGGGCGACCCCTTGAGAGCGGGGAGGTGTCGGGGAAGAGCTCTTATCCTAGGGGGAGGCCCCAGGCCCTCGCTGGTGGGGCGGAGGCCGCGCTGTCCCTCCGGAAGGTGGCGGGCAGGACGCTGGCGGGTCCCCGCAGGCGGGGGGAAGGGGCTTGGGGGGGCTCTGTCCCTTCACAGGGCGGGGGGACACGCACAAGATGGGCGGAGGTGTCTTGCAGATGCCTTTAGGGACGGTATTTCCTTTCAGCGCCTCGGTGCTGTCTCTGTGGCTTTGTGTTAGAGGGTAGAGACCGCGAAGCCTTGGGGCAGGGGCTGTGCGGGGGCTGTACTGTGGGTGCCGGGGCTGTGCTGGGGGTGCCGGAGGGTGCCAGGGGTGTGCGGGGGCTGTGCGGGGGTGCCGGGGCTGTGCGGAGGTGCCGGAGGGTGCTGGG